TTTTTCCTGAAAGATTTGACAGGTGAGCAGAGAACTAATTCTTATCGCTGATCTTGTCACAAACCCGTGACAGATAGGAAGCGATTTTTTTTTATTCATACTGTTTTAGATCCTGTGCTTTTCTGCCTGTTTACTTCAAGTGCCCTTTACTCATGTGGAAGAACTGTTTGCCTTGTTAAGACGTTCAATACTGCCAGCGCCACAAGAATGTATCAGGGAAGTTCCAAGTTTGTATTGCTAGATTTCATTACTAAATTTATCAACAAAACCAAAGAAAGATTAGCCTGTGGATTTTAATACTGTATAGAGCATATGTCTACTGAGTTCAGTAGACAAATACATACGTATATATGCTGCTTTCATATCTTACATAAAAAAATGAAACAAGAATTATAAAAACCTTTTGAAGATAACAGGCTCCTGAAGGTTTTTGCTCAGCTTTTCTTAAAAAGCAACAAGGGGCAAATGCTGAAATATTATGCCCAAACAACATATATGTCCTCTGGGTGGTAAAGAGGGTCACGCACACAACTGCTTTTCATGGTCATCACCATCAGCTCCTTTGCTGACCTGGTCATGCCTTTCTCCCATGGCCAGAAACAGCAGAACATAGCTTAACTGACATATGACCTAAATCAGATTTACAGACAAATCAAATCCTCATTTCCAGAGAATTTGTTTCAAGGCTTACATTAAGGCAACTTGCAACCTAGGCTCAGCAGAGATAATTTTTTTAATCTTTTGGTATGTCGCAGTTTAAAAGGTTTACCATGTCTACAGCGGACAGTGACCCCATTTGATTCTGCCAGGGAAATGGCAACACCATGATGTATTTGAGATTTTAATTCATGTCAGTACACCAAAGATATGGTATAGCAAAAAATATAGTGATGAATCACCAGCTAAGGATTTTTAATGAGAAAATACCTGTAAATTAAGGACAATATTTTCAAAATGAACAAGGCTTCAGAAGCAGAACAATGCAGATATCTAAAATAAATTTTAAAGACAGTATTAGCTATTTTGTTTTGGGTAATGGGGAAGAGAAGATGACAGATTAGAGTTGGGGAGAGGGAAATCATGCAGGCTGTGATTAATCAGAACTGTCTACCCACATTTGCCTACACAAGCAGAATTAAAACCATCAAACAAGTTTTAGGGCTAGATCTCAGAGGCTGTGGTGGAAATAATATGTGCTGACATTTTTAGAGTTAAAATGATAAGGATGAGAGCAGCATTTTGTCATTAGAAGTCCTGTGGTCATTTGCAGAGAATGCCACAGCTCTGCTTCGAGAAGAAAGAGTTAAATTACTCAGAGCTATTACATCCTGTCTGCTGCTTGGCTGGGACCACATACTGTGACAGCTGCGAGCTTTACATCCTCTACAAACTGACATTTTACACACACACACAGAGTGCATCACGCTGTTCAACTTGTTTTCTCTATTAGCCTCAGCAATTAAAAAGGCAGCACTTTCTCTGCTAAGAGGTATGCCAAACCGTTTACTTTTGCCTTTATGGTTAAACAGCAAAACTTTACCATTTCATTTAGAAAGGTTCTTTTTTCATTACTAAGGGCATTGATACATGCTACATGTCTTCCTTTTTAAAACAGCTTTCTTTTGTTGTGGCTGGAATTCCTTTGTTTGTTTCTTCTTCTTAATTAGGATACAGCACAATAAATTTACATTCAGTTAAGACCACATCTGAACTCATAGCTCACCCAGATAATCATATCTGATACAAATTTAAAATAAGGATCCATTATACACATTTATGTCATGCTGCCCATCAGGGCTTCTTCCACTGCCTTGGTACAAATGAAAACAACAAATGGAAAATGTTAATCTAGACCAGAGCTGAACCTATACAAAAAAAAAAAAAAAGAAAGTCTACATTATTGAGTCATTCCACTGCTCCATAATTATCTCTGTGATAATTTCACTTCGAAGTACTCATAACAGAAACAAAGGCTTTACTGACTTTCGGACATCATCTGTCACTACTGAATTCCATCTCCTTCCCTCTACATCCCCCATTTTACAGTCCCTTCCTCTGCCACTGCATTATTCCACACTTATGGTAAATAAAGCTGAATTTGAACAGGGTTTAATGAAGAGGCAACTTAATATTCTGGGTACAACACTGGGCAAGTGCCTACAGATCCTCTGGCTTCTGGTCTTTCTTTCATTCACTTGATGACTTTACCTACCTATGCCTATTATGTCTCAGAAAGCATGAGACATGAAATATCCAGGCAGTTATTTGTCAGGAGAAGAAAACAGATGTGGTCAGCTCTGCTCTTCTTCTAAATGGGTAAGACCCATGGGGTAAGAGTTCCCCAACGCCTCAACCTCCTTCCTTCAGCAGGCTATTTCTTCTCCATATTCTTCCGCTTTCACATTGGTGGGTAACGCATTCTTAGTGTCCCCAAAAGAGGGGCACTTGATCTCAGAAGAGCAAAATTGCCAGGGAACACCCAGCAGCCAATTTTTAAATTACAGCAGAGAATAATCTGATCATACCGACAAGCTTTGTATATGCTATCAGTCAGTTTCTGAAATTGGACATACCAAATCTTATTCTGGAACAAGAGATTCTCCACATTAGCCCTCACACAGACATGGTGTGCAGCAATACAGCATCTCTTGACACACCAGATGCTATTGGGAGGTTGATTCCTTAAACTGTTGACCAGCTGTGTCTCCAGCATGGAACTGCTAGAATTGCAGGCAAATGATACTCCACCTACCAGGGCTCTAATGCTTCAAGGGGCCCTGCTAGAAGATACTCTTCTGCTGTGTCCTAGTGTTTTGGTCACCACTCTGCCATCACAGGATCCCCATTATCAGATGCTGTCCTTGTCATGTAGCTTGAGATAAACTTCCTTGTGTACTCACAGAGCAAACTAAGAGGTGCGTAGGGGCCATTGTGCATAACTTTGTTGCAGTATCCTAGTGACAGAGAGAACCTTTCACTGGTTGTCTAAGAGCCGAATTGGTTCAGACCAAGAATCCATTTAACTCAGAAAGCTGTCTCTAACATAGCTGTAAGTGACAGCTAAGAAAGAATAATATATATCAGGGCAAGCATGTAGGATACCTGCCCCAAATATTTTGTGTACTTCCTCTCAGCATGTCTGGTTTAGTTTCTACTGGAAGGAATTGAGTTTGTCCAATATGAGACCATTCTGTGATGTGAGGTGAGGCATATTAAGTGGGGAGGATCAAGGGGTTCACTTCAAAAACACACTCCTGATCTGAATTAAAATGCTTGTATAAACACAGAGATAGATAAGTTAGAGGAAAAAAACAACATTGCTTTCACCTGAACCCATCTAAGCTTCTTGAATGCACAGCATTCTCCAGAAACGAGTTCCACAGATCTGCTTCCTGCTGCATAAAGAATTACCTGAATTATCTCCTTTTTGTTTGCTTTGCACCTGGCCCCAACTACTGCCATTTGACAGTCCTTAGTTCTTAAACTGGAAGAGGTGGCAAACAATCAATCCCTAATTACATGCCTCCCGTGATTTAGGAGACCTCTACCTACACCATTCCCTGCAACTCTTCTCTGTTCCAGGCTGAAAGGACATACCATGTAAGGTCTTCCTAACTGGAAGCTGTCTGTATCATTGATCATCCTCACTGCTCTTCTCTGAACAATTACACTGATAACATAACCTTCGAAAATAATGTGCTGTCAAACCACAGCTTATACAGTAGTATGTAGTAGTACATGCTTGCTGTTTCACCCTCTATTCCTTTCCTAACAGTTTGTAACATATGGTCAACATTAATGCTTCTTAACATTTGCCTTCTTGATCAGCAATGACCTAATGCACTCATGGAACCATCTGTCATTATACCAAAACCTTGCTCCTGAGTGGCAACACCACAATTTGACCCTAAAAATGAACAAGAACTTACAGTGAAGTTGTAATAACTGGAATAACGTAATATAGGAATTGTTTGTTCAGATGCATATTAGCACAAGAAAAACTGCCATTAACGCATTACACTGTTCTTCAAGAAGTTTCTAGCCATTATTATATGGCCGTTTCTTGCTACACTACAAAGTCATCATTTAATAACCAAACTCTTAATCCTAGTCTGGAATTTTATACATTTGGTCTAGTATCTGTCCCTTTTTCCCTTAATCCATCCTTTTGGCATGTGTGTGCCTTGCTTGTCTATCTTAGGATTTTACACCATTTACAATATATTCCAAGAGAAAAGATCAGGTATTGCCTTTATAGATACATAACATCTATTTCTGGCAGACAAGTAATCAAATAAAAGAACCCCAAACCTTCCAAGAGTTACACACTGGTATCTTCTTTTCCCCTGTGATCTTTCTGCTTCAAGTCACAAAGAATTTTAAGCCCAGCTTTTCAAATACCTATCTGTGTATCAAATTTGCTGTGGAAGATCAGTACCGACTGATCTGATCTAAACAGTGTTTCTACTGATGTGAGTGTGCACTTGGATCAGTAAAAAGCCAATCTATAACACACGTGGTTTGTTTATAGGGACCTATCCAGAATATACAGTTCTTTCAGCATATGAAGGACTTCAGACAGAAGCAAATGCAGTTATCTGCATTCCTACTGCAGCTAGGCCTACCTAAAGGGCCGCCGCCTTTAGAATTGCGATGCTACAGTGACTTGTGTGATCATGTTGCCCTGACAACCAATGGAGATCCTCTTTACAGTTAATCTAGCAGACATCTGTATTTTTGGGACAGGCAGTCCTGAGTTTCACTGCTCACCATCATTCACATTTCCTATCCCCCCAGTAAAGCACAGAGATTATAAAAATCGAAAGCGCATCATACAAACCTAGAGTGTGGTTAACTGGCATTACTGTTATGTTGCATTCCTTTACCTCATTTGCCTGTCTGGTACTGTTGAAGCACAGATCAGTATGTGAGAGTCTGCCTCACAGTCTTGGAGTATTTTGATTTACAAAAAAATCAAAGAAGAAAAACTGCACACATACCTTCAGGACAGTCCACTGCTCTACAACAATCGCATCATAGCCCTGCATGGTTTTACTGTCTTCCACAGCAACATCTTCAAAGAGAAAAACTCCATCCATTGTCCCATGCAAAGAATCTGTGAAAACACAGGGTTACCTGTAAGTTTTATGGAAGACACCCCGTGTGTAGTGAGGCATTTGAATTTATTAATAACAAATTCTTCCAAGGATGTTAATAAAAAAGTGCATAGACCTTCCTCTGATAGTCCAGCTCTATTAAATGAATTAGACTAATATCTCTAGCAGTTTTTAAGAGCAATCCTACTCTCTAATAGCAAACCTTACTGTCCACTCTGTTATTCCAGAGTTTGTCCTTAAAAAACACAGCTCTCCCATTCTGAGCAGACAAAATCAATTCAGTCCTTAGTTCAGCAGTACTGCTCATTTACTTGAAGTTATACACACACTTTTGGGGCTAAAGACTACGTATTATGTCAACTTTTCAAGGGCTTTTGAAGGTACACTGATATTAATGACTATACCCATTCATTCACACAAGTCAGAACCCTATGTATGGATCGTCCATTGCAGTTACAGCGATCTACATGGACTAAGGATGATCTGGCATATCTGAACGGTGTGAAAGAAAAGATACATTCATAACTATTTAATCAATTTATGAAGGCATTTTGACCATCTGGCTTAGTGGCTTGCTATTCTCATTTGTATTCCCAGCACGTTCAGCCTTTTTTCAGACAACACATACTATTAAAGTCACTTGAGCAGCACTTTCTCCTTCAACTTAGCCGTATGCTCCATAATCAGCAATCACTCTCACATGCAAGAACTCAAGTTTTGTCAGCTCCGTGACAGAACAGAATCAGAATAACTGAAAAAAAATTACTCACCTTTCTTTGCTAAAATAAGCTAAATGATGAAGTGATAGAATTATATTTTGAAAAACTGTAAATAAGTGGTACTGTACTCCTTACGAACACAGAAAACTCCTCTCACATTGTCACAAAGCGTGTTTTTCAGCCTTTCTAGTTTAAATAATACATTTACCCTGTGTGACTGATTATAAAGACCTTGCTCAGTCCCTCCCCAAGTGTTGTGTTTTGCATGATAGTTTCTCTACATTTTTAGGAAAGCTATGTTCATTGCACTGGTATGATTTATGTTTTTAAAATGCAACCACACATGCCAAACCAACAGATTCCTGAACTGACAGGAGAGTCTTCTGGATAAGTCTGCTTAGCTGTTTTATCAGGTCCTCCTGCTTTCCCTGGTTGATGTTATGAGGTCAAGAAATGCCAGTGGGAAGGCATCGCTGTCTCCAAGGGAAAAAGTGTATCAAACTCAGAACCAACTTTCACGAAGGAAGCAGTGAAGAGGATTAAGAGGCTTCTTCCCTCTTGCAGACACACTCTCGGTCAACAGCTTCCGATGTCATTACATGATCTAAATTCAATTTATTATCTGGAAATAATAAATTTGTTGTGGGCTTTGCCAACAACAAACCGGACTCCTACAGCTGGAGGCTTATGTCTGCAAACACTGTAGCAAGACTGTTGCTGAAGGTGTCAAGCATTTGCATACTCCCTTTCTTCTATTTGCACAGTCCACTACTCTCTCTTGCTGCAGTTTCAATCAAGTCATTAAGTTGTAAGTGAGCAGATGCAAATACTTATATCTAAACTAACACAGCGTGGTTGTTTTTTTTTTAGTTTGTTTGTGACGGAATAAAGTTGTAAACCACTTACTAGGGACTCTCCTTGGGATTCTGTTGGGAGACTTGAAGTAGAAAAATACACTATCTACTTTCACACTGACTGTCTCCCCAGGCAGGTTTCCTGTAACACCATTTAGAATACGAGAGAAGACGACTCCTCACCACTACAGCAAGCCAGTACTACACATTGCTCCAGGATGAGCTGGACTACAAAGCAGTAACTCCTGTCATCTAGACAGATTTCTCATCCAAGTGAGAACAGACATTTTTGTTGTAAAATAACAGGCCAGATCACTAAGTAGCTGGGTTATAGCTTAGAAAACATAGGGAGAACAAGCTTGCCACATACAAATGGGTACAAGACTTAATTATATTTCATTCAGAAATGGCACTTTGTTAGACCCTACATTTCAAAGCAGGAATCAACTCAACTTCTGTGCAATACATCACATTCCAACACCCAAACCCATATGAAAATCTATTTTAGGATGCACAATGTACAAATAACGCTTTAATTTTCCAAAGCAAGGATGACAGGACAGCACCTAAGGCTGAAAGCAGAAACCCATAGATCCCTACTAGACACAGACATCCAGATCTTGCCAGGAAGCTTTATACAGTGTCGGTGTACTGCTCCTCTACCGTGAATTCTCTTAATAAAATTCAGTGTCACACTGTTGGCACAACTGCAGCTTCTGCTCGCCCCACACAATTGCCAGCTAATTAATAAGCGATCAAAACACAATCAGCATGCCTGTGTTTACACTCACTCATAAATCATCCTTTATGTTTCACTCTGCTGCGCATTCCACTCATGCAGTTCACAGCTTCCACGTATGTGAACATTATGGCACATATGTAATGTTTTAGAAACTAATAGCTGAGCTTGTGAGACCCTACAGGCAGCAGATAAACTTGGCAGTGTTAGATTTATGGTTGGACTTGATGATCTTAAAAGTCTTTTCCAACCTAAATGATTCTATGATTCTGTGACTTCACTTCCTTGTTGGATGTACAATAATTACTGTTGAATGCTACATCCAGTCAATCCTAAGATCCATTAGTTTTTTGGCCAGGAAAGAAACCTATAGAAAATGAGAAAACTGAAAGGGGAAAAATTATGAGGGAGAGACAGCTGCTGCATACTGGTGTCTGTTCAACAAAGTGATGCTGGTGAAAAACTCTAAGAGAAACTGGTTGATGATGCTTTTTAAGATTTTCCCTCTTAACCATAACCAACCTCCTCTCTACCTGTCGTGCCACAACATTTAAACTTTCATGCCATGAATGCACGTCTGCCAATCCTCACACCTTGGCCATACATCTTCCCTTTTACAGGTCATTTACGACTCTTCCAGCAAAAAGGGAGAGGTAAAGGAAAGAATAACTGGATCATTAATTCCTTCACATGTGAAGCATTTGGGATGCTGAGAATAATTGTAGGAAAGGAGAAAGCAGCAAAAAGAGAGTTAACGGGTCATATTTTGGAGAAAAGGCACATGTAAACCATGCTATGGTGTCAGGATCAGCAGGAATTTCAGGGAAACTCTTACACACGTGTGGAAGGACAAGGAGATGGACAGATGCTCTGAGTCTACCTGCAATACCTTTAGCACACAGATGCTCTAGCTCTAAGAGCAACTTAATTCTCCAGTCACATGTTCTACAGCTGGCCCACTAGGTGAGATTCACATAATCTAACATTAGATATTTATGATATAGAGGTCTACAGCTGAGTTAGTCATCCAAGGCTCTTTTTACAATTGATGGAGAGAAATAACCATTATTTCATTCAGGACCTAGTTTCATAGAATCATAGAATAATTCAGGTGGATGGGGACCTGAGGAGGTCTCCAGTCCAATCTCCTGCTCAAAGCAGGTTCAATACAAGTGCAGACAAGATTGCTCAGGGCTTTATCTAGTTGCATCTTGAAAATCTCCAAGGATGGAGACTGCACAACTTCCTGGGCAGCCTCCTCCACAGCGTAACTGTTTTCATGATGAGAAAGTTTTTCTTTATATCCAGCCAGGACCTCTCTTGTTTTAGTTTATGTACATTTTTTCTCATCCTCCTACCATACACCTCAGTCAAAAGCCTGGATCCATCTTCTTGATAGTCTCCTCCTAGGCATTGCCAGGCACTGTTAGGTCCCCCAAAGCTGTCCCTTCTCCAGGCTGAACCAACCTAGCTCCTTCAGCCTTTCCTCACAGGGTAAGTGCTCCAGCCACTAACTCTCTTGTTGGCCCTCTGCTAAACTAGCTGCAGTTTGTCAACATCTTCCTTGCCCCCTTTGGGGGAGGGCCCAAAACTGGACACAGTATGTGGTCTAGATGCAATCTAATGAGCACCAGTTAGAGGAAGATAATCACTGTCTTTCATCTACTGGCTATATTCTTGTCATTACAACCTGGTATGCTGTTGCCTTCTCTACTGCCAGGGCATACTGCTGGTTTATCTTCAGCTTGCTACCTACTAATATCTCCCAGGACCTTTTCAACAGAGCTGCTACCCAGCCAGGCAGTCCTCTGCCTGGATTAGTGAAAAGGCCTCTCCATTCCCAGAGGCGGGGGATTTGTCCTCATGGAATTTCAAAAAGCTCCTGCTGGTATGTTCTTCCAGCCTGCCCAGGTCCCTCTGGACAGCAGCCCAGTTCTGAAGCCCATCAGCTGCACCCCTGAGTATGGTATCAACTGCAAATTTGACAAAACCAAGCCCTCTTGCCTCCTCTGCATCATTGATAAAGTTGTTAAACACAACAGGTCCCAGGATAGATCTCTGTGGTACTCCACTTGTTACTCCAGGTAAAGTGTGACCTATTAACCATGACCCTCTGAGCCTAGCCATGCAACCAGTTTTTTACCTGTCTAGTTGTCATCCAATCTATCCATCTAACTTGGATACAAAAATATTGTGGGAGCCACTGTCAAACTTCCTTGATGAATTCACCTAAAATGACATCTACTGCTTTCTCTTTATCCACAGTCATTTCATCACAGAAGACAATCAGTTTTGTGAAGTATGATTTACTCTTGTTAAATCCATGCTGACTGTTCCCAATCACTTTCTTCTCCTTCATGCGTCCAGAAATGTGTTCCAAGAAGACTAACTCAAGGATTTACCTGGGAATGAAGTGATGCTGGCCACCCTGTATGTCCCTGGATTGTCCTTTTGGCCTTTTTTTAAAGATGAGTGCAACCTTTGCCTTTCTCATGTGTTGGAAACCTCCCCTGACCTTTCAAAGATGACTAAGAGTGGCTTTGTTATGACATTAACCAGCTCTCTCAGCACCCTTAGATGTATACCATTTGGTCTCAGGAACTGAAGCAATCCCTGTCTTGATCTTCACCCACTGCTGCTAGTCCTGCAACTCATTGAACCTTGCCTCTAAGCTCAGAGGCCTGGAAGACTGTGTCAGTGAAGACTAAGGCAAAGGAGGCACTGAGTATCTCAGTCTTACCTAGTTCTGCTGTCACTAAATCACCCACGCCAGTCTATCTGAATCTTTTACATATCTGATGTAGGATGAGGTGGATCACAACACAAATCCTACTGACCATATTGGTCTGGGCCTAGATCTCCATTGATCATAATGGCACTTTTGAGTGACAACTCATATGCAGATACCTGCAGGGCAGATGCCTACATTTATTCAGCTGAATCTTACCTAACTTGTCTACAAAGATCAGCCATCTAAAGCTTTAGATGGTGAGTTGTTCTTTCCAGTTTCCACTGTTTCTTATGCAAGTTATTTCCTGATTCTGATGCAGTTGTATTCTCTTTTGGTAATCTCTTGTTTAATAAGATTTAGCTCCTGGAACTTAGCCTACATTAAAAAGGACTTTAATAATTCCAAATGTTAGTTCATTTGCAATAGGGCAGTAAGGAATGCCAATAAAACAAACCATTTTGACTTTGCTGTTTGTGGTGTCATTTCCCAATCTCTACTCTTGAACTGACATAACTTCGCTCTTTCTTAAAGAAAAGGCTCTGAGCATAAAGGTTACAATCACTATCCTTTCTCTGAAAATGTTCCATTACCAGCGCATTTTTTATTAAGGTATCCTACTGTGCACAAAAAGCTATTTTCACAGGGTTGTATAAATATTTGATGTAGCTCAGTTGACAAAAAGCTATTTTGATGTTCTTGCTTCTGATTTACAAGAAGTATATCGGAAAAGATTTCTTACTTTACCATGACAGCTTTCCTAGTGGGCAACAATCTTCCCCTCATTGTCTTTGAACTACAAATGCCCCTTATCTAGGAAACTAACCTTTAGGCTGCTGTTGCTCTCAATGAGGAAAACTAGCCATCTGTGGCTTTATGTGGCATGTGACTTGAATTTTGGCCTTTGCTTCATATTTATATTCCTCCCTCCTCCTGACTCTTTTCACCTTCAGTACACACAGAGAAAATAATTCCATATGGATGATAAAAATCCCAGCCAATGCAGTGGATAAGGTGACTGTAATTGGCCAAATCTGGTTCATCTTTGTTGGAGGCAGTGCGAATATAACACAGACAATCAATCTGACCCTCTAAAAACCTGCCTACTTTCCTCTTCCAAGCAACTCACATTTTGTTTCATTTGCCTTGTCTTTAAGTATTGCCAATGTTTTCTGGTTGGTTGGCTGGCTTTTTCTAAGTTTGAAAGGCAGGAAATCCACACACAGAATGGTGAAACAAATACAAGAATGCCAGGCATTTAAAGACCTGCAGTTCAAAACAGCTAAAGACAGCAGGCTTGTGATTACTCTGTTAAGGCATCAAAATATAATCTTAGCTTTGACTCTTCCTCCCTTGTCACTCTCACCTTCTCACACTGCTGATTGGAGACTTGCTGTTATAGGAAAGGAGGAGATCCCACCTGTTACAACCTTCCCATTTGCAATGGTATTAATATGTAGCTTGCTGCTACCGGCTCCACTTCTCACTAGAAGAGGGCAAGGGTGAAGTCCTATGATCACTTTAGATCACTAGGCAGGATCAGTTTACACCTGGGACTACAGGCACAATTAGCAATGACATGAGTTGGATGAAAAACACCAGCAAGTAACTGAACTCCAAATTCACATAACTGTTGTTTGTCAACATGAGAACATTTAAGGACCAAGCAAGCTGCTGTTTCTAACTTACTAGCAAAATCTGAATACATTTAATATATGGTGTAACGCTGCGTGGTGTACATATGGTAATTTGCAATTGTGTTATATTTCTGTTTATAATTATCTGGTACAAAAAAACCAAAAAGAAACAATTGTTATCAGTGAACTCTAAAACTCTTTTAAAGACTAATTATTATACTGTTGGCAGAAGGAAGGAACAGATTTATGACTACTGACAATCTGGAAATCTTCACTTCGTTGGGCATTCCAAGGACAAGGGGGAAAAGAAGATGATAATGACCCTGCTTTTAAGTCTAATAAGCAAAATAATGAATTCGTACTTTAAGCAAAAGAGAAAAACAGCCCCCAGAACAAAGAAATGTGATATAACCAATTAAAGAAAGTATGCTAATATTACCTGAATTTGGAAGAGGATTAATCAGTGAATAAGGAGACCAGCTATGAAGAGCTGGACAGGCTGCCATAAAAGGCTAGAAAAAAGTAAAGAGCTGAGAAGCCCTCCGCCCCCTCTTTCCTCCCTCCTCCCTACCCTGAGTTGTTTCATACTGGCTGGCATATGAGTGAAAAAGCTGTTCCATTTCTCTGCAGCATAGGAAAATTTTAGGATCTAAATCATAAACACTTAACTGCAACTGATAGCAACTTACAGATGTTCTTAGCAAATGTTCTTCTAATAGCATGGGCATGTTCATAGTGTTTTAATGTAACTGTTCTAATTAATATACTTCTAGAAACCTTAACTCTGTGCTTTTGACTTCTAAACCTGTTCTTCCTGTAACTGTAAAATGTTAATAAAAATGTTTATTAACTGTTCATCTTCAATCTCTAATCTAACGTAATCCTGAATCTGTCCACTTTTACATAATTTGTTGTCCTCTTTGCATTGAAACTTTAATGTCATCATTCAAACCTACTTTATCTATGTCTGCAGGCAGTTATCCAGTACTCCTCACTCTGGTATTCAAGTACATGAACTTCCCCCAGGCCTCTGTTATGTAAATGAACTTTGGAAGTTTAAATAACAGAAAAAATGCTGGGTTTAAAGCATTTTATAGTGCACTGATAAGCAGTTTTTATTAAAGAAAACACTGAGCCTGATAGAGCCAATTAGGTTTGCCTCTATGAATTCTAATTTATACACATAAAGTAAATGACCATTTGTTTTTAAGCAAGTTAACTAGCAATTACAAGGCTTCCAGGAAGTTGTGTGAAAGCATTCCATCAGCTGAACTTTAGACCTTCCTTTTTTGCTACTTTCTTGCAAAATGAAAAATTAGGATTGCCTGTTAATTTCCTGATTGACTTTTACCAGAACCAACTCATATTACTGTGTTTTATCATGGGTCCTGGAAATCTGAACAGCAGCAAAATGGGAAGAGGATGCTCTGGAAGCAGTTCCCTTATAATTTTGAGGCACAAACCCACTGATCTCAGTAGCAGTGCCCAATCTATGGGTTACCGCATTCCTTTTGAAGAATGCAAAACAAACCAAAATTAGGTGAAAGATTCAGCCATAAGCACTTTAACCATAAAGTATACTAGTCACATAATTTTCCAGTAAAATTCATCTGGCTGTAACTTCAACATTTTTATGTTCAAGTACTTCCCTTGGATTGTTCTCATAATCCCTTGGTTATGTCTCTCAGACCCCTACTATGCACCAAAGCCTTTATTTGTGCAGCAGGCTTGTCTTCAAAGCCATGGTGGTCACGGCTGGCTACAGTTATTTATCAGTGCCACATTTTCACAACGTGCAAAAATCTGTGTTTTATTCTTCTCAATTTAAGACCAACGTTTATCCAGCATTTGTATGAACACACTAGCTAGGATAGAACAAACATAGAAGACCATTTTGTACAACATTGTGCCATCAAGGTGGAAAGGGTCTCTGCAAGAACTGGGAGTAACTGACTACATGTTGGCCAGATGAAACTGGAGGGTCCTTACACTGACCTGCAATCAGACCCAGATGCGGTTTGTGTCCGGACAGCTAAGAAGAAAGCCACTGTTCCATTTATGTCATCTGCTTTACAATCTTAATAGTTTAATTCATTTTACTTGGTACTGTTTATTAACTCTGTATATTTCTGCAATTTCAGGATCATCTCTAGTATGTTTATAAAATACAATACATAATCTGTTTTCCTTATTCAAATGCCAAAATATTTCCTGTGCTTTCATTCCATTTCACTGAAATAGGCTGATCTAAACCAAATCTGCCCCAAGCATATATTAAAGCACCTCCCAAATGTCTTCTCTTCAAAGATAATGACCTCTATTAGAGGAGAAAGGAAAATAATCACAGCATAATGCTTTCTGTAATTTCCATACCATTTACCATTCCAAGGCCGAAGATGGCATTTACCAATGAGCCTCCTTTCCTGAAGTGATCTGTCATGTGCTCCAGCCAATTTGCTTCTAAGCTGCTGACAGTCTGCCCATTCCTGGAGATCCTCATAGGGATAGTCACTGTATAATACCGACTGCATCTTTGTGGGGTTTTTGGCTTGTTGAAGAGAGCGAAGATCTCTGCTTCTACCAAAAAGTAAAAAAATGGAGTAATGCAACAACCATTTCATGATATTTCAGCTAAAACAATGTATAAACCACTGTTTGCCCTTGCCTGATTTCATTGTGCAACTGCAAAATATACTTTGGGATGTAGTTATCTCTTTAATACATTTCTGCAGTGTCCAACGCAGTAGGGTCCCAAAACCCAATACGATATTTTGATTGCTGTTATGGTATTTGTTACTAATTGTGGATTCACTGTTAATAATAAAACATTTAAAGACAGTAATACCTGAGTACTAATGGACAACCCCCTTACTGGAGTTAACAGTGTAAACTACGATAGGAAAACATGCTCCACAAACTGCTTTAAGTACTGCAGCAGTCAAAAAATCACTAAAAATTAATGCACAGAGTACCTTTATTTTTCTACTGAATGAATTGTTAAAAGAACTGTGACACTGAGGACAGTGCAAATACAAAATCTGACTGCAAATTTAGGAGAAACTGCATTCCATAGATCATGGCCATTAAACTAAAGTATTAAATAACTTGGTTTTGATAATACAATGGCATAGAACCAGCCAAATAGTAGTCTCATCTGAAGAAAAAGCAATGAAGCATTACTGTAGAGACTATGCTAGCTGGTTAGTTGATTTACTCTGGGTCTGAGCCAAGGTGAGACATTAACACAACAGTACATGAATTTTAAAAGTGGAATTGTGAAGGGTCTTACAAATAAGAACATTTTCTAGACTCTGCTCCATATCTCCTCTACTATATCATAGGAGCAGTTAATGTAGGCTTACCATCACAAGAAAGTAATTGTTGACAGCAAAGCTGAGCTTTCACAGCCCTAAAATTGGAAGCAAGTTTAAGTGCAGATAGACCTTCCAAATTCTCAGAAGGGTACAACCATCAATAGAATTACCAATAAAAAATGTTTGGACATTAATACTTTACTTCTTAATGGACATGGAAATCAATGGTAAAATTTCTATTGACCTCCAAATGCCAAAAATTCTCCCCAAATAAATTAATATAAAAGGTAAAGACATTATATGAAATTCATTCATTCAATAAGCTCCTCTTGATTCCAAGTTATTATATTCCAATCTCAAGTATTAAAGTAAAGAAGGAGATGTCACGAGAAATGTTAAGGTTGCTCTCTAACAAACGTCACTGAGCAAGAAGTAGTGTGTAAATTGAAAAAAATATTAGGAGGGAGATGCTCAGAGACAGGCTGGCAGCACTTGGAGAACAGGAAGCTCATGATACAACCAAACATGAAAAAGAGACCTAATGATCTCAAGACATGAACCATGATTCAAATAGAGTAGAAAGGAATAAACTGTTAACCTGAATCCTCTTGTTGTTTACCACTTGTTTAGAAAGAAGTATGATAATCCTAACTCAGAAGAGCATACACAGAAAACTTCTATGATCGTTTTGATTCTGACCCCCAAAATAGACTCATGTTGGAAACTGAGATCTTTTTGGTGTATATGATGACATTATATTAATTAACAATAGCAAATCATGGAACTGGAAAACCATAGGGAGATGATAATTTGGATTTGACACTGGTCTGTTGACAACATGCATTTAAAGTGTGTGGGAGTCTTTCAGTGGTTGACTTGGTTTGTCACCATTATTGAGTGTATAGTACACCATTCCTAACCACTGTTCAAGTCACTGTTGACAACAGTTTTCATGAGCAATCCTGACCGCTCAAAGCATGGACAAAAATACCTTCAGTTTGGTTCTAGGTAACACAGCACTTTTGGATGTACCATTGGAATACCTGTGCCTTGTTCACAGGCAAATAATTTTCAACACTGCTTTGAAGAGCCCTTTAATAAAAGGGAAGGGGAATGAGCACTACAAAATATTCAGAAAAAAAATGAAGAAGCATAAAAATAACACTTGAATAGTATAAAACCTAAAATAAAGAACAAAATTAAGATTCCACAAACAGTAAGAACATATTTTTTTCCTGAAGTTTTATATAAGTAAGAAGGAGTTCAAGAGTGGTACCTTCCTATGGAATAAGTAGGCTAACTGAAAAAAAAAAAACCAACCACCTGATGCTTTCTGTCTTCATGTTCCAAGGAAGGATGGAGAACTGGTGCCAAAGACTGAAATACATTTTCCATAGGAGGAAAAAGGAGTGCTATAATAACAAAAATTCATACAAGAGTAATAAAGAAATCAGCAATGTTGTACAGACAATAGATTTGGGAAAAATCCTACTATAGGTGAACTGTCACATAAAACTGCCTTCTCAGACCTTCAGTCTTGGAAAGTATTTGCATAACTCACCAATTAAAAAAAATTGTAAGAAATAAAAAAAGCCAAAAAGCATTCAGAGAACGAAAGATAAATAAGGAAACTAAAGGCTTTTTAAAAATAAAACCTCTTATCTGGCAAATCAGCAGCTGTAATAAAATCCTGGGGTGTTACAGATGGAAGTTGGGAAGATTGGAGATGATCAGCTTCACATTACACAGAAATACCAAGAACATGGTTACTTGTAGCAAAAGATTTCCACTGTTCAGTATGGAGAAGAATAGCATGAAAAAGATGATAAAACTTGCTAGTTAACTCTCTTAAAGACAGTGTATATGAAAAGAGAAAGAACTGGTCTGATTAGACTTGGAGATAACTAATCTAGAACTGCAAAACTGAGAGGTTTTATAATGCGTAAGATTCTACTGTAAACCAGAACAAATTATTCAAATAATAGCTATGCTTTGACCAAATCTGGCTGCTTCTTTGCCCAACAAAAACTGAAGAAAGTATGGTGAAAGGTTGCTAGAGTGTGATCCAAATCTGATGGCAAAAAGCTAATTACACCAAAATGCAACGGAAACCAAGACAATAGTCCAAAGAGGGTACAATGCAAAGTCATTTTCAGTCCTACATACAAAATCCCCAAAGGGGTAGGATTGTTTGACTGAATCTATGTAAGACAAAGAATAAGGATAAATTAAAGTCAAGGACAGTACCAGGTGAAAGGAATGGAGATGGAATTTCCTTACATAGATTTGTAGCTTGTAAGGAAAGTAAGCAAAGTGGTAAGAAAAATGAGTGTAAACACTGTTTTCTAGGATTTAAGCAAATATAGGAAAGAAAAATATTTTGAGGTTTAAACTGGAAATGGGGCAAGAATATTTTTTTCTGACGATTTTTCCTTTTCTAAATTACTCTGGTCTACATCCTATTTTGAATTACAATTCCTACTACTGAAGTAACCTCTGAGCAACAAACACCTTAAGGAGGGTATTTTGAGACCTCATCTGAGACTTGTGTTTTATGATAGCATAAAACGACATTTAAAAGTGGAAAGCACACCTGAGGAGAAGTATGTCAAAGAAATGAAAGACAGAAAATTGGCATATGAAGAATAATCTTACAAAAATATGAGAATTGGAAGGCAAATTATTAGGAGCATCACTACCAAGAGGACCTGAGCCATTAACAAAATAACTGCTGCTTTCCAGTAATTACGATTCCGACTGTACCATTGACCCCAGCCTGACTATAGGATACTAGGAGACTTCAGAGTCCAGATCACATATATTCTTGCTGTTCCTGATGTGGTTTAATTTCAGCTATCTGTTCACCTGCTACAAAGGGGCTAACTGTGATAAGGCTTTGTGACTTATTCCTTCTATTGCTGCAAAACCTTGTCAGGCAGATTAGCAGGGCTTTTTATTCAAACGGACAAAATGGATACAAAGATCAAGAGCTCTCAGGGTATCACAACAAATACAGAAAAGAACCAATTCAGCTGAACTGACAAAAATAAGTCTTTACACTCAGGCATACAAATGGGCCATAATAAAATTGCACCCGCTTATATCACCTCTTCATTTGACATCTGACTTAGCTCAATCACTGTGAACTGTGTAACCATGTTGAAATCAGGTTAAGTGGCTCATTTGGTGCACCTTTTCTTCACTATTACAGTGGTAAGGTCCTCCCTGCATCCCCACCCCTCAAAGAAGCTGGGAACATAATTGAGGCAATTTTAACTTGGCTTTTATGTATGAAAGGTCACTACAATACTTACTGCCAGTAAGTGGTTTTAAGCATTGTGCTGGTGTTTCATTCTCTGCAAGTCCATTTGGTTTGTCTGCTGCTTCTCTTACACTTGGGTTCGCATGTTGAAACTGTTCTTCATTCCCCTTCGCAGACTTGAGGTTCAGCTCTTCAGTAGCCTGTCCTTCACCTCTCCAGCCCTCCCTGGATGTGGCACATTGGTCAGCACTTTCTTCACTCGGTGCTGGAGTATTACATCCATTAATTTCGCCATCCAGTGAAGCATGATCCTCAGGGTAATTTGAAACATTTTTATTATCTCTTGATTGCACAGAGTTGTTACTGGCGGGTGTCAGGGAGGCGTTGACAAGACAGTTCTTTTGGGAATGGTACTGAGGTATAATTCCAACAAATTTCAAGCCTTGACTTGCAGCATCTTGAATCTACAAGTCGAAGAAGATTAGATTTTTAACTGTCAAGCTGTCTTAGCTAAATAGAAATGCAGAAAATAACACCCTTCAAGGCAGCTAGCATGTCATTTTGCTACTTTTGTCCACTACCACGAGAAATTGTCATGTTACATTTACATAAAAAGTTACATTCTAGAGAAGCAGGATGGAAAGTTCCCTAAATTGTCTGAAATTATGTGGAAGTGCAGAAAAAAAAGAAAAAAGGGAAAAAAGAGAGAGAGAAAATGCTTACATATTTCTTCACAAGGGATAAAGTATCTGTTTGAAAAGTTCATTTATGCTAAATTACCAGAAGTGGTATTACTCACAAAAACTTATAGTATCAACCTTATGAATCCAGGGACTTAGTATTACATCTTCTGCTGTATTACATGTGTGATTATGATACTTATGCAAGGAAAAGGTTATTAATTCTCTGTTATATGCACCATTATAACAACAGTTGTTGTTTGTCTTATTTTGGATTGAGACACAAATGGCAAACTTTCACATAATAAAAAAGCTATTTTAATACATCACTTTTGGGAAGGTACAGAACTCGGAATAGAAGAAGGCATTGTGAGATGAGCTAAGAAGAAGAAAAATGGAAACTAAGGGGCACTATTATTAATCCTTTACACTTTAGGTAAAGGAGGAAAATGAAGGAATCAAATCACAAAAGATCATAAGAAAAAAGCATTGGGCTAGTATTAATGACAATTAGATAAAGCCAGAATTAACTAAGGAAGGTTTGAGGCGAATCAGAAAGAGAAATCTCTTTTAGGCAGACTCAGCACTACAGATGCACCATCCATTCGAGTCACCAGCCTCACACCCCTCAAAACCAGGAGAAGCTGCAGTGAGAGCCAGACTTCTATGAAAACATACGAGTGTCTGCTGATTCATTTATCAAAATCACCCACTGAAAGAATGTATACTCTTCATATAATATAAACTCTAAACACACATAAATATTTCAAAACGAAATTCCTTGAGAATGGAGAAATAATTTCACTTTCTCTGCATACCATGTAATTCCAGAGAGTTAAAGTGTCTTAATAATTCTCCGAGGCTCAATTTAGTATGAACTTACATGAAACAGTTCAGGCTTTTTTTTTTTTTTTTTCTCAATTTAAGAGGAAGCTCACTTCTGCATCTTTCCTACCCAGAACTTATTTTTTCTTTAAATGAATCATCTACTTCCTGGTAACATGTTACTGTTCTGAACACACAAACCTACAGATGATACCTGATCAACAACAAGAACTTCCTCTTTCAAACCACTATTATATTTTCCATGTTAAATTAACTCTTGATTTTGTGATCACAGGAACTTAAACAGAGGTCTCCAGGAAACAAAGCAATGGTCTTCACAGGTGTTTAGCCTGGCAAACATGGGATGCTGACTTAACTAAAGATCATTGCTAAAGAGGACAACAACCTCCAAATAAAAATACTACTAGCAGTATCCTGATCAAATGAGTATCTCTCTACAAAGAAAGTTAGCATGTAATTAGCTTGCTCAGAAAGGTTTAAGCGAATGTCAATGATAGATGCATTCATAACATGCTTAATGGACCTGACCCCCTGTTTTAACTTTACAAATATTTTTTTATACAGTCAACGATAGAGTTACAAATTCAGTTCATCTCTTATCACTAATCTACAGACACACCACTATATTTGTTTAGTAGGTTGCAGGGCAGCTAATTATAGAAATTTAACTAGTATGCAACTGTTAAAGAGTTTGAGGATAGTACATACATGGTCCTGGTCACTAAAGACTGCTTGTCAATCTATACCAGACTCTCCCACACTGTGATTTGGATGAGGACAGCTTTCACAGCTAATGTAGCTATGTTTTACAGTCTTGGCTCACTCAGAAAAAATGTGTTTGTTCTAAGAAATACCTGATCCTGAGGTTTTTGTTCTGAGGCTCTTGTTCTCAGAATGGAAAGAGGAGGAACTAAGGACTGAATGATAGTCTAAGCCATGTTAGCCTAACAGTTTAGCAGAAAGACTGGAAAAAGAGACTGTATCTTCAAGGCCCTTTCCCAACAAGTTAATCGGTAGCATACAGCATAAAAAAATCTTATTTAAACCTGTATTTCAAATTTTCCCAATTACATAAAGGAGAACCAAGCATCTCATTATTTTCAATAAAGCCAATTTAGCAGGAAATGTTACATTAACAGTGCAATGTAAGCTGCAGAACAGCGAAGTGATATCAGCAGACACAAACAAGTCTTTCCTTCCAACTTTTCACAAAACCATGAAGGGGCTAGCTCTCATCATAAATAAAGTATGAACATCTTCAAACTACAAAACAAAGGCAATTTGATTTTTCAGCATCCTGTTGAGAGCTTAAATAGTAGAAAATTTTAGTTGCCTTCACATCCAGAATGAATTATGCCACCCAATATACATTCACATTTCCTGTTTGCTGTATTTGAAATATTGAATATTTGAATTATAATAAGAAAAACCCAGACTTAAACAAGCCCAAACCTTGGTACCTGGACAGGTTGTGCCCAGGAGCTACACAGGACAGAAGGGCTGTTTCTACCAGCCACCTGTGGTTTTTGGACCCTTCAAGGCATCCTGCGCTGGTACACACAGACGGATGTGTCTGTTCCAGCCTTTTGGGAAAATATCTTAGCAGATGCAGTATTGGGAATCAGTAAGAGGGCAACGCCTGGGAGAAAGCAGGGGTAAAGCTGAACTGAATAGGAAGAACATGATGCTACTCTGACAGGGTCACCCAGAACATATTCCAGATCAGATAAATACTACAATTACTTGTCTTTATGTGTCAGTTTAGAGTACTAATAAAGAGTACTAACAAAGGTCCTTGTCATACTACGTTGTATGACTAAATGAGAGGAAAAAGCATAAAAAGCAGAACAACTGTATCTCCACCACTTACCACATCAGAAAAAAAGCTAGATTAAAAATGCCCTTACATTAGGTGATCCATAATAATTTCAGTTGTTTTACTGACCTTTTCTGTATTTTAAATATGCTACACACTTCCTCTTTACATCTTAGGGAATTTTTAAAAGGGAAATTCCAACAAAATTTAAAATAAAAAAAAAATTCTTTGGTTCTTTTCCCAGCTAGGAACAGAAACATTTTTATTGCCTCATAAAGTGCTGCTTGGATGATATTAACCACAAATACAAGAACAGGTCTCCATCACAGAAGACGTTATTGTTCAACAACAGAAGCAGAACTTAACTCATTTCTTTCAATCTGGATAACCCCCCAAATGGGTACATCGAAGTGCATTTATAACTGGCTTGCAACAAATTGGATTTACACCAGTTTAAAAACAGAACCTGCTTAAAGAAGGGCTGAAATTTCATGTGTACAGAGGGCCAAGGCAGTTAAAGAATTTAATGTCATTCCTATAATTTCCCTGATTAGAAACCTGGCATTTTCCCTTAGGGGAAAAAATGACAGATTTAGCCTTTGCTATCTGTGAAATAAATATCAAGTCTCCCACTAACTCTAGCAGAAATAGGAACAAGCACCATGTCCAGCCCCAATGTCACTACCTTAATTGAATTTTAGCCAGGGCACTTAATATTCTTATCATTTGTGAAGTGTTATTGTTTATTTCAGAACCAACCAACCGCTATTTTTATACTGCATTTGGAAAAAAGGAATCAGCAGCAGCACAAAGCAGTGTCACTAAACATTATGTTGATGTAGCAAATTTATGTCCCATCTTTTTAAATACTTCTGGTTCTCTTGAAGGCTAATTAGGAAATGGCTGACAGTCTAATTTAAAGATCTGTAAAACCACACCTGGCAACAGTATGGCTGAACGATGAAATCCCCTTTTCTGGAAACTCCTTGTTTTTAAACTATAGGCCCCACAGCCATGAAAGAAGTGCAGAGATTCTAGGTTGAAAGCTCATTTTGAACAGCCACATACAGGTTTTCTTTTCAAATCTATTTAGAATAAAGACACTTGGCAAGTTCATTGTACAGTCCACATATTGTTTGTGATTCTGCACTTCTTGTTGCATTATCAGCTCTGTAATAATCTCCTATTCATAGCGAGCATGATGGTACTACTTATAAATACAGAAGCTCAGGGATATAGATCCCATGCTGAACAGAATCATACATTTTTGTCAGCTTCGGTAATTGCTTACAGGGAGATTCTGTACATTTCTCCCATGGGATGGCACACAGCAAATCAAACACTTCCCACAAGCTGAGGACAGTATTCCACCCACATCAATAAACATGGGAAATAATGCACAGCAATTTAATAAAGAGGATCTCTCTCTTGGATAAGGATTTTCAAAGAAATTATTTAATAAGACAAGTGTTAGTAATTTGTCTTAACTCTTATAGACCAGGAGCTGGACATTTTTGGGATGCATCCAGAGGAAAAGCAGTTTTACTAATGTCATCAGGGCACTCCAGTTTATAGCAGTCCTAAATGGTCTCAAGGCTTACACTTCCTGAAGATCTAGAAAAAAACACCTTCAAAACCTAGGCATTAGGACTGAACATTTCATTAACAGGTTTGCTATATGGCTCATGATATAACAATGTACTGAAAGAATGTCATAGCAACACAGTAAAGGGGACTGCTGCTAATATAAAAACAGACAACAGAAACAATTTACGAAGAGCACACATAGCAAAAATGTGCTTGGAGAAAGGACAACATTCTCTAGGAGCAATGAACTGATTTTCCAATGGTCAGATGCATTTAGTTAGCTCTGCAGTGAACTAAGGGAAAGACTGCTACTTAATCCTACTGATGGCCAAACAGATGGCCTTTGAAACAATAGCTGGTTAATTTTGCTCAGAGCTATCTATTTAAACCAAGCATAAACTGTCTTAGCCAATAAAAGAAATGCTTGTCTGTCTGTCTATTTGGTTGTTTTTAAAAAAACAATGTTAGAGGCATTAGATCTCATGATGTGCACCAGAAACAAGACCACTGTATTCTTCTACCTTCTTTTTAGGAT